CTCACAGCCACCCCAGCATCAACCTGCTGGGCTCCGGCGATCCTTCTGCCTCAGCCTTCCAAGTAGCCAGAACTACAGGAGTGCTACCATGCCTGGCTAATTTTTGATTTATTGTAGAGATGAGGTCTCGCCAGGTTTCCTGGGCTGGTCTTGAACCTGCAGGCTCAGGCAATCCACTTGTCTAGGCCTCCCAAAGTGCTGGGATTACAGGCTGAGCCACCAAACCTGGGCTTTTTTTTTTTTGAGTTGGAATCTCACTCTTGCTCCGGCTGGAATGCAGTGGCATGCTCATGACCACTGCAGCCTTGACTTGGCTCGGCTTAGGCAATGCTTCTGTGTCAACTTTCCAACTAGCTGGAACTACAGGCGTGTGCCACCACACCCAGCTAATTTTCTTTGATTTATTATAGAGATGAAGTCTCGCCAAGTCTTGAACCCCGGGTCAGGCAGTCCTCTCGCCTCTGCCTCTCAATGTGCTGGGATTATAGGCATACGCCACCGTGCCTTACAACATAGCTATTCAAATGTTTATTTTCTTTTTTGTTTTTTGAGTTGGAGTCTCACTCTGTCACCCAGACTGGAGTGCAGTGGCCGCTCCCAGCCACCGCAGCCTCAACCTGCTAGGCTCTGGCGATCCTTCCGCCTCAGCCTTCCAAGTAGCTGGAACTACAGGCGCGCGCTACCGCATCCGGCTAATTTTTTTGATTTATTGTAGAGATGAGGTCTCACCAAGTTGCCCAGGCGGGTCTCGAACCCGTGGGCTCAGGCAATCCACTCACCTCAACCTCCCAAGGTGCGGGATTACAGGCTGAGCCACCGAGCCTGACTATTTTCTTTTTTATAAATTGAGACAATTCACTACTATAAAATATACCATTTGAAGTGTACAAGTCAGTGATTTTTAGTATATTCACAAGGTTGTATAACTGTCACCACTAATTCTAGATGGTTTTCATCAACGCAACAGGAAACCTTGTCCTCATTAGCAGTCACTCCCTGTTTCTTCCTCCCCATCCTCTGACAACCCTTACTCTTACTTTCTGTCTCTATGGATTTGCTTATTCTGGACATTTGATATAAACGGGATCCTACAATATGTGGACGTTTGTGTCTGGTTTCTTTCACTCAACATCATGTTTTTAAGGTTCATCCATGTTGTAGCATGTGTCAGGCCTTCATTCCTTTTTATGACTGAATAATACTCCATCCACAGATACACTATTTTTTCTTGGGCTTTGCCTCACAGATGCCTTTTTTGCCTTAGTGTGGGGTGTTGCTGTACCTGGACCCTAAGGAGATGTCTGACTGTCTTTCCTGTTCTTTTCAGGCCTTGGCTTGCGTGGAATCACATAGATGAGTCAAAGTCTTAGCCACTTTTGTGTGTATCTGAACATTTTAATAGTCCTGGCGTTGCAGGACCTTGTCCAGGGGTTTTGCCGCTGTGTTCTGTGGTTGGGTGCTGCAAGTTGTGTGCACATTGGCTGCCTGTGATGTCCAGATCTGCAGAGACTCGGGTCTGGGCTGGGGCCCCATGTTTCATGGGCTTTCTCCCCTCATTTCTCTGTTGTCCACCCTCCCTATCGTCCCTGGTCTAGAGGATGCTACCCTGAGACATTCAGGAGAAAGGCACTGTTTGGGCGCAATCGGTCATCTCGCAGTCTAGATCAAGTGCTGTCTGGGGCTCTAGCCAGCTGTTCTTTGGCTGGCTCTGAAGTACAGGCCAGTTTGTGAGTGAGCAGCCTAGAGGTATGAGATAGAAAAGGAGAAATCGAGAGGGAGAAATCAGGCCCGTGGCTTTCCAGGCAATTCCTGAAAGCCACAGTCAGGCTGGGATTTCTAAAGGTTTTGGTATCTTGCTGGGCAGCCGCCCCCTCCCCCTGTGGATCCAATTGTACAACTCAGTGGATTTGGGTCCCATTGTTCCCTTGGGAGCTCAACTCCCCTCCCCCACTCATGGTGAGAGGTGGGAGACGGGAGGCAGGGGACTCCCCCCCAGCGGCACAGAGCTCCTGTGGAATGTTGTGCCCACATGGAGAATGGCAGGGTCTCCTCCCCCAGGGCCCACTGTCCCTGTGCCCTGAGTGGAAACCCCATCTGGTTTCACCGAAGCAGGTTGACAGCAGGGGGCTGGCAGGCGGGCTGGGCTGGAACCAGTGGCAGCCTGTTTAATCTGCTTTGATTTCTGGTCTTTGGAGAGGGGCTTGGCTACAAGGCCCAATTGTTTATGTCTGAGGAGCCAAGGCAGACAAAGGGCGCTGGGGAGAGAGTCCTGGAAGCCAGATAAGATGCCAAGGCTCCTTGTCAGCTCACTATAGCTTTATTCTTCGCATCCCCAAGAGGTTTCTTAAGAAGGTGATGGCCATTTAAAAATAGTTTTTTTAAGAGTCCTAAAACATGGCTTTGCTTGGAAACCAAATGCAGGGGGCGGAACAGAGGAAACTGTCAGTCTCTGAGCCATGGTGTGGGTTTGTCTTAGAAAAAGAATTTGCCTTTGTGGCCCAAGGCGGTGGGCCTCAGTCTAGACGAGGGAACCCCAAGGTGTCCCTGGGTTAGGAAGCTATGTCTTATTCTCACCGTTTTAATTTTTCTGAGCTGGATGATAGGTGACCTTCGCCTGCAGTGTCACTGCCTGTAAGGCGGCACAGACACATGCAGGTGTTTGGGGACTGGTGGATTTACAGCCTCCCCTCTCCCCCCATGAGATGAAATCTTCCCTTCCTCCCATTCTGAAGCTATGAAGAGTGACAGAAGAATTAACCAAAGAGTGAATGTGTTGCATGTTTGCTATTTTAAGTTAACGTCTCAACAATCACTACGTGCTTTTAATTTCAGTTAGGTTGATAAGGAATAGGGATGTTCCAGGTGACCATTCATTAAGCTGCCGTCTCTCTTATATTTATCCCCCCCCCATGGCTCTAGTGAAAGCAGCCTTCCCAGAAAAGGTAATTCCGGCATGGCCCTTTCCCTCACTGCCAGTGAATTGATTTGGAAATTGCAAATAATTTACCCTTCCTCTCCCCTTTCTCTTGCCATTGGTTTTTTTTTTTCCCATTGATTTTTTTTTTCCAGGAGATAAACAAATTTTAGGACAATTCCATCCACCCTCATATTTTGCTTTTTCAAATCCTTGAGACCTGGGAGTTATAGAGGCACCGAGAAAGCTCCTGTTCTCATCTCCTAAGGTCACTCAGCTCTAAGATGATGTGGACCTCTGAGGAAGGGCTGAGGCCAGGTGCCACATGGATGGGGCTTGAGATCCTGAAAGGTTGCCCCTTCAGGGCTGGGAGCAGTGCATGCCTTCTGACCGCCTTGCCTTTCGTTGTGGACTGACATCGGTTAACAGCTCAGTTTGGTGAGGCTCCAAATTTGTCAACAAATAATGTTGAGCAATCGTGTGTTTAATGTTCCCAGGCATGTGGCTGAAACCTTTTGAAGGCGAAGGGTGGAAGGCGACAACCTGTTTGTAAGTCAATTCTTTGCAAATTTTGTTTCCTGCAGTCCTCTCTTGGAAAAAAAAAAAAAAAATTGAATTCCTTCATCAGCATTTGTTTTCACCCAGCTGGTTTCCCTTGGGTTCAGCAACAAAGAAGGGAGACGTATCTTCCCCTCCTGAAATAACAGCTCCCCGATTTTTTTTTGTCTAATTTAGAAAGATTCTCAGGTGGTCATGGTGTCTGAGCAGGGTGGCTCGGGCAGTGTCCGAAACTGTGAAAGTCAAAACCAACTTCAGGGTTTTACCAGTCAAGTCTCATGTCGGGAGACGTGAGAATCTCTGTTCTCAGCCTGCTTTTTAGGTATTGGCAATTTGTTTCAAAATCATTAGGCCCTTGCTCTGGAATAGGGCTGGGGCTGAGACCCCCCCAACCCTTCTTCACAGGAAGTCAAGTTTTGGTTCACGCTACAGGGCTTCTCTTTTTTAAACTCCAGAGGGCACTGATTCTGGAACTATGAAAAAAGACGGATATCGTCCAAGCAGTAAAACCGGGGTTCTCAGGAAAGTAGCTGGAGCCAAGGAAACCACTAGATTATGCTGCCAACTCCATGCATCTCCCCAAGGAGTTCAAAAGCATGTGACGGCCATGACCTCATTCCAAAGCATCCCATCCACCAGAGGCAGGGAGATCAAACGGACCCAATGTGCAGATGGGAGAAATGAGCCCCCCACGGTGGGAAAAGGGCCTTGCAGCTGAAAGCTGAGTGGACTGCATAGACGAGGTGTTGAGTGAGAGCCAGGACTCTGAAAGAGGGCCACACTGGGGCCTTTTTCAGGTGGGCATTTTGAGAGAGGCAGGAAAATAGTATCTTAGGGTAAATGGAGAACCTAGGTGTGCTTGTATTTGTCTCGGTTCCAGATGTAGCATGTAGCCTGTTTACTGGCGGGGGGCGGGGGGCGGTGTAGGGAGAGAGTGCTTGTTCCTGAGGGACCAGGGAGGCAAGGAGGCAAGGAGACATCTCTGTCTCCTGCAGACACACCCTTGGTGAGAGGGCAAGAGAGCAGGTCGGGTGTGAGTGTGACATTGAAGACCCGTGGTGTAGCCTCTGGAGGAGAGGGCTGAGTAGTAGGAGTCAGGGACCACCCTCCTGCTCTCCGTGTTCCTCCCTTGCTCGCTCAGCATGCAGTTTCTGGAAGGGTCCTTGTACCAGGGCCATCTGTGGTGTTGCTTCCTTCCCATCTTTCACTGCCATCTCATCTGTATAGACCTTGGGTCGCCCTTTGGAATCCCCCTGGGGCCCAGGCCTTTCTACAGCCTGATACACAAAGCTGTCTCCACCTTTACTTCCTCCCCTAAGGAACGGCAAAAAGGGAGTTTCCACGTGGACTCCTGCTCCAGATTTGGCTGTGTTGCCCCCAATGTCAGGATGGTCTCAGGTCACACCTTGGGAGCTGAGACCTTTGTGGAAATACAGGCTGGGCCTTACCAGGTGGGGGTGGGGGAGGAGCAGGAAGTAGATACCTGTGAGGCCCCGCCCCTGGAGGTAGGAGAGGCCACACACCCACCATCCTCATTGGTCTGCTGGCCTGGCCTCCCTCCCAGAGTGCAGGAGGATGCTTCATAGCCTGTCTGCAAATGGGTAAGGTTTAGGGGTTGATTTCTGATTTTTTAAGCGGTGGAGAGCAGTAGAATCTGTGCAGGAAATCTTCGAGACTGATGAGGAGTCTGTGTCTGTGGTAGCTAGATTCAGGCAGTATCTCCCACCTGCAGGTGCCCATACCCTTTGCTGGCACATCAGGGGAGAATTCTGGTTTTCTGCGTCTCACGGAAGCACCAAGCGACCTCCAGCCGACTTGCGGGGTGTGCAGCTCAGGGACCTTTGAGATGACACTTTCACATGGGCCTCATTCTCTGCCTCATTCGTGCATGCTACTGACATCTTCCCCCTTCCAGCACCCACCCATTTTTTCCTTCCCATCATTTGTGCTCTTGCTAAGATGATGACAGTGACCCTACCCCCAAGCATCCTCCCCCGACTTCTCTCCCTTCTTCCCTCTTGGCCCTCCAGAAACTGACCTCCGCCCGCTTGGGTCTTTGCTTGCAGGTGCAACCCAAGTTCCGTTACCCCTTCTACTATGAGATGTGCTGGTATGTCTTGGAGAGATACGTGTACTGTGTGACCCAGCGCTCCTACCTCACTCAGGAGTACCAGAGAGAATCCATGCTTATTGGTGAGTGAACCTCAGGGAGCCCATGGCCTCGGCTGCGCTGCCGGGGCGGAAATCGTTTTTTTCACTGGGGCCTAGAGAGTCTCTTGGGTTCGGGGGATTCTTTTGAGCCGGAGTGCTGGGCAGAATTCTAGAGACCCTGTAGGGACAGACGTTTGTGTCAGCTTCCCACTTGGAATACAGGATCCAAGAAAATGAACCCATTGATTTCAAAATAGGCACGTCTGTGGCCTCCAGTCCATGACTATGCAAATGCAGGGAGGGGGCGTGGTGGCTGAAATGGGATCATCCCACAGAGCATAGACTCCTTGTTCTTCGATTTCTTCATGGTCACCAGCTGATTTTTCCCTTTACACTGGGGATTGTTTTTTTTTAAATTTTTCAATCTGTTTAGGAGGAGGCCTGTGAGATGCAGCCAGTCCTCCAAAATCCAGGTTGCCTTTGAGCCGGCAGCAGAGGTGACCAGGGTCATGGTGCAAGATTGGAGGAGCAGGTTGAGGGTGTTACTAGCTGCGGCTACAGTGCCCTGCCCTGCTGCTGGGACTTAAAGGGACATCATCCCCCACCCCCCAACATGGCTCTGCCCTTGAATCTTGACTCACAAACGCCCGCCCTGAAGTTGCATCTGGCTGTGACAGCAAGCCCCGACCAGCAATCTAGAGGAAGAAAGTGACTCTTCCCGGCTGTGTCCCTGCACTGTCGTTGCCGAGGGGTTTTCCGAGATGTGGCGTCTGTGTGTAGTCACAGCTTCTTTCTCATCACGGGATAGAAAGATGAGTCCGGCCTGTCTTCCTTGTGGGTCTGCATGCTTTTTCTCCACAGTCGCTAGGATTTTTAGATTCTTTTCTCTCCCTCACAGTAAGCCTTGTCCCTTCTTGACCTCTATCCTTATGACGTTTGGAGGTTCCAGGCTGGGCGTGTGATGGGGAGCCAGTGTTTCCGCTGGGGTCTTTCCTGGGAAGTCTTTGTCTGTGGGGTGTGTCGTGAGTCTCTTTCCCATCGGAGAATGCGATGTTCAGGGTTTGGAAAGTCCGGAATCCCTACAACCTGCTCCCAGCTCAGTAGCGGAGAAGCAAAATAATCCTGAAATAGCATGAGAGCCACTGTGATTGCAGTAACTCTGCGTCCCCCTGGGGACAGAGGCTGGGGAGCACAAAAGGATTCCTCAGTGTCAGGAGTCTCCAGGCCAGGAAGCGGAGGGTGGGCAGAAGATGAACATTTCCAGTTTCATTTGCAGGCATGAGAAGAAATCTTTTTTTTTTTTTTTTTTTTTTTTTGTGTTGGAGTCTCACTCTGTCGCCCAGACTGGAGTGCAGTGGCATGCTCCCAGCCACCGCAGCCTTGACCTGCTGGGCTCTGGTGATCCTTCTGCCTTTGCCTTCCAAGTAGCTGGAATTACAGGCACGCACTACCACGCTCGGCTGATTTTTGATTTATTGTAGAGACAAGGTCTTGCCAAGTTGCCCGGGTGAGTCTCGAACCCGCAGGCTCAGGCAATCCTCTCGCCTCAGCCTCCCAAAGCACTGGGATTACAGGCTGAGCTCCCAAGCCTGGGCAAGAAGAAATCTTGAGGCGGCAGTTGGGAACCAGTGCCCACTTTTTTTCTTACATTTTCTTGCCACTGTTTCTGTCTTGGCTGTTCCAGTCTGTCTGCCAAAGAAATGGGGAGACAGGAGGGAGACACCCTCCTTTCTCCAGTGCTGCTTGTGTGCCAGGAATTGTGCTCGGGGACACCTGCTTACTCCTCCATGGCCTTCAGGGGACGTTTTCTTAGCCCTGTATTTTTTGAACAGCTCTGTTGGGATGTAACTCACATACCATTCAATTCACCCACTTACAGTGCACAAAGTCTATCCCAGAATTGTGCAGCCATCCCTACAGTGGATTTTACATTTCCATCACCTCAGAGAGAAGCTCGTAGTCTAACGGTCTCCTTATCTCTCCCCTCCCCTCAGCCCCAGGCAACGATTAATCTACTTTCTGTCTCCATAGATTCCCCCGTTCTAGACATTTCACACGAATGAAATAATTTACTATAAGCTGTTTTGACTTATTTGGAGACATTAAAAAATAAAGTGTCAGGTGTGTTCGGAGAGGTGAGGCAACCCGTGTGGGTACACGCAGCAGAGATGGGATGTGAACCCCCATCTGACTGACCCCGGCAAGATATCAACTATGAGGATTGTCAGAGAAGCTTGGTCTCTGGAGTAAAGGGGAGGCAGGGGGAGTGGAGGTTCCAGAGACTTCCAGCAGGGAGTTAGGCTTTCATCTGTCTTCCTTGTGACCCCTGCCCCCTGCAGATGCTTGCAGAAAGCCCAGCATAGACGGCTTCTCATCTGATTCCTGGCTAGAGATGGAGGAGGAGTCCTGTGAACAGCAGCTCCAGGAGGAGGAGGAGAAGGAAGAGGAAGAGGGGGAGGGTGTGGATAAGGCTCCCAAGCCTCCCACTGATGGTCCTGCCTCGCCCACCAGCACCCCCTCCGAGGACCAGGAGGCCCCCGGGAAGAAGTCCAAAGCGCCTGCCATGCGGTTCCTCAAAAGGACTTTGTCCAACGAGTCAGAGGAAAGCGTGAAGTCCACCACGATGCCGGTAGACTACCCCAAGACACCCACTGGCTCCCCTGCCACAGAGGTCGCCACCAAATGGACCCACCTCACTGAGTTTGAACTGAAGGGCCTGAAGGCTTTGGTAGAGAAGCTGGAATCCCTCCCAGAGAACAAGAAGTGTGTCCCTGAGGGCATCGAGGATCCGCAGGCACTCCTGGAGGGCGTGAAGGTGGGCAGGGGGCGCGTCTGGGGCTGGGCGGCTGAGAAGGGTCTTGCGGGTTCTGTTCAGTTGGTGGCTTGGCTCAGGGGGTTTTCGGTGCCTGTTCTGGGCCTCTGGCCAGGTGCTGGGAGGGGGCCTCTGTCCAAGGTACTCAGACACCAAGCCTGTCTAAGGTGTCTGAGCAGAGGTTGCCCTTAAGAGCTGCAGAGGAACCTTTTTTTTTTTTTTGAGTTGGTGTCTCACTCTGTCACTCAGGCTAGAGTGCAGCAGCACGCTCATGGTTACTCCATTGTCCACCTGCTGGGCTCAGGTGATTCTTCCATCTCAGCCTTCCAAGTAGCCGGAACTACAGGCGTGCGCTATCACACCAGGCTAATTTTTGATTTATTGTAGAAATGAGGTCTCACCAAGTTGCCCAGGATGGTCTTGAACCCATGGGCTCAGACAATACTCTCACCTTGGCCTCCCAAAGTGCTGGGATTACGGGCTTGAGTCACCAAGGAACCTCTTGATGGAAGCAGGCTCTGTGGCTGACATCCTTTGTCAGCACTTGGAAACCTGAGGTCTGGCTGGCAGCAGGTGTGATGTGTGCAGCAGTAGTGCTGTGTTGGGTTTGAGAGCCAGACTCCTCTGTCTTTGTCAGGAAGTCTTGCTGTTCCGGGCTGGCCTCCTTGGAGCAAGCATCAGTTCCATGTGGGCAGGTTGGATAACTCCGTGGTCTACTACGCGGCTTGTGAACGTGGGCAACATGTAGCCTCCTGCGATTCAGAGGTCTTCACTGTCATCTGCATTTAACCGACTACCCCAAGGAAGTAGGCTCAGAGAGGTTGAGGGACATGCCTGAGGTCACAGAGCAGGTAGATGGTGGCGCTGGTTTGAGGACTAAGGGATGATACCAGAGTTCCTGTGTGTATAACTATACGGAACTGCCTTCTGTCTCAGCATTGGCAAGGCTTTTTGGTGGGAGGCCTTGTGGGCATTTGGATTTCCTTCCCAATGTCTGATGCCCAATGTCACCTGCCTGGCGGAGTTGGAAACTGAATTTAAGTTTCTTCTTCGATGGCTGCAGACTACCCAGAACCTGGCAGTTCACTTATTTATTTAGGAAACATTGTGTCAGACCCTGGGACGTAGAAATATTAAGACTGATTGACCCCAGGGGTATGCTACTTGGGAGGCTGAAGTGGGAGGATTGCTTAAGTCCAGAAGTTCAAGGTTGTGGTGACCTATGATCGCACGTGTGAATAACCACTGTACTCCAGCCTGGACAACAGAGCGTCTCAAAAGAAAACCGATCTAACATTTTTTTTTTTTTTTTTTTTTAATTCAAAGTAACATTAAGACTTCCTACCCTTAAGGGGCTTTTTGGGGTCTAGCTGAGGGGACCTGAGGCCAACGTCAGGTAGCCTGACAGGTGTCACCAGTAGAGGGAGCTAGTGTGTAAAATCATTAATCCAGGTATACTTCGTTTTATATAGCAGATGGGTCCCTTCCAGGTACCGTGAAATTTTAATCTTACAATCCAGGGGGGTTTGCTAGGTAATAGAACTCTGTGATGAATAACCCTATAAAGCAAATCTTTACTTGTTAATGGGTCTGTTTCACTGATTCTTGACTCTTTTGAGAGTTTTATGAAAATAATGGGCCGGGTTCGGTGGCTCAGCCTATAATCCCAGCACTTTGGAAGGCTGAGGTCAGTGGATCGCCTGAGCCCGTGGGTTCGAGACCCACGCAGGCAACTTGGCGAGACCTCGTCTCTACAATTAAAAAAAAAAAAAAGAATTAGCCGAGCATGGAAGTGCGCGCCTGTAGTTCTGGCTACTTGGAAGGTTGAGGTGGAAGGATCGTTGGAGCCCACCGGGTCGATGCTAGGGTAGCTGTGAGCGTGCCGCTGCACCCCAGTCTGGGTGACAGAATGAGACTCCAACTCAATAAAAATAAAGAAAGAAAAGATAGTCCTTTCCCTATTGTTCTGCATTGCCTTCCATGTAATAATATAATCCATTCATAAGTATATATATGGAACTTAAACTATTATTTCCTTTCCCTTTTTCTTTTTTTTTTTTTGAGTCATAGACTTAATCTGTCATTCA